TGGAGCGCCAGATCTACGCCTTCGAGGGCAGCTACCTGGAGGACACGCAGATGTACGGCAACATCATCCGCGGCTGGGACCGGTACCTCACCAACCAGAAGTGAGTGCGGGCCCTCGCACGCCTCCCCCCCCTCCCCGCCCCTCCCCGGGCGCGGCCCTCGCCCGGCCCGGCCCGTCGCGGGAGGCGGCGCGCCGGCGAGGGGGCGCCCCGGGGAGCCCTTGCCTCGCGCCGCCGGCCGGGCCCTCACGCGGCTCTCTCGTACCCAGAAATTCCAACAGCAAGAACGACCGCAGGAACCGCAAGTTCAAGGAGGCGGAGCGGCTCTTCAGCAAGTCCTCGGTCACGTCGGCGGCGGTGAGTACCGTCGCCCGACGGGCGGGCGCGACCCCGCCGGACCCCGCCTGATCCCCCCGGGCGCCCCCGCGCAGCCCGCCCCGCTTATCCGTCAGCTCCCGCATGCTCGCGGGGGGCTTTCCGGGGGCGCCGAACCGATCCCACTGCTGGGCCTGTTCTTCACAAAGGCACGGAAGCGGGGGGTGGGTGGGGGTGGGGCTGCGATTCTTCCCTGGACAGCCCCTTCCACGCTCCTCCTGCACCTCATGAGCCCCCCAGCCATTCCCCCTCCCTCCTTGCCTGGATTCAGTTGTTGCTGCAGCTTTTTGCAGGGAGGGGGACATTTTGTTCTCCGCCTGGTGTTGGATTCCTGCTACCATCATCCCTTACCATTGCCTGTCTTGGCTGGGGAAGATGGGAGTTGTAATCCAGCATCTCAAGGGCTACCTGGGATAGGAAGGGAAGCCTTCCAGGTGTGAAACAGAGGTGTCATCTCCTTCAGACGCCTTGCTCTTCCTCTCTGGGGCAAGTTCTGCCCTTGATGCACATCACCCTGCAGTCTTGGAAGTTGAGGTGCATCCAGATGCAGTGTAGGCTCTTCTCCACATCCCCTGGTGCGCTCCTTGTCTTTCTCTATAAAGCTAATGTGCAACCCCAGAGGTGGGGTTGTCATCCACAAAGGTTGGATTCAACCCTGGTGAGCATGGGAGCCAGTCAAGCACTCCTGGGGGTGTGGTGGAAAGAGCTTTATTCTGCAGTAAAGAGTCTCCCTGCACAAAGCAGGCAAAGCGGAGTCCCAAGAAAAAAACAACTTCTCTTTTTAGCACATTTTACTGGAGCATTAGCAAGAGGAACAGGAAAACTTCCTGCGCTCACCTAGTCTTGTCTTTCAGGGTCCCGCCACTGCTTCCTTCCCAAAACCATGTATGGGCACATTGGGGGGAAACTCAGGTCTGCCCTTCAATTCCCCCCTTTGGGGCCGTGGGCCTTCTTGCCTCTTTAGCCCCGTTTTGCTGCCTGCCACTTCACTTCGCATTTCCAAACACATCGCTCGTGCCACGGACTCGAGCCAAATATATTTTCACACTTCGCTGGAACTTCTGGTAGGCACTGAATAGAGTGACAGGCCATGGAGAACAGCAGGCTTATATGAAGGTATTTTAGCCAGCCAAGGCTTGGCAGCCAGGAGGTCACCCATTCCCAAAATTCCCCATTGTTGCTTGGTGGGACACAGGCTGCCTGTCTGACGCTGGTTGCATGGTCAGTGCTTTGAGCGTAGTTACCGGGGACCTACACCCAGCACCTTTCCCTTACCTGGACGCAGATACCCCCCTTTGAAGGCCGAATCCTATCCAGGGCACTCTGTTCTGCAGGGCCATCTGTCTGCGCTATTGCTCGTCCCTTGGAGGCATCACAGCTTCCTTTGCTCCATCTCCACTGGCTCTCAGATCTGCCCCTCCTTCCAGGGTGGGATTCGTTGGTCAGGCCCTCCCTCGCTGTCCTCCCCCTCCGGTACCCCTTCTGGAGCACTCTTCGCCTGGGCGTAGTGCACCCAAGACGACTGCTGCAGCTTTTGCCCCCATGTGCATGGTCAGCAACACCTGGAATCGTGGAATCATAGAAGAATAGAGTTGGAAGGGGCCACGAAGGCCAGCAGGTCCAGCCCCCTGCTGCTGCAGGACACCCATTTACACCATCCCACTCAGAGGACTGGCCAGTTTTGCCTTAATGTCCCCAGTGTGGGAGAGCCCCCCACCTCCCCAGGCAGCTGGTTCCACTGTCGCATTGCTCGGACGGTGAGGGAGCTTTCCCTGATGTCCAGCCTGAGTATGGGTTGCCGCAGCTTGAATGGAGTATTCCATGTCCTACGCTCTGGCCTCAGCGAGAAGACAGCTTGTCTTGGAGTGGTCTTTCCCAGAGTTCTCTCATGCCAGGCTTGGATAACACCCCAGAGTCCTGCTTATGGAGCCATAGCTTTTCCATCTGGGGTACCCACCATCCCCTTGCCGCCGCCCCTTCTTTCTTGGTGTAACAAGGAAAGGGTTGAAAGAAAGCCAATGGCGTCTTGATCAAGGATCCCCCTCCTTCCAAATCACAAAAGTGAGGCCGAACGCACTGCGGGGGCGTTTCCCTCTTTCGCTTCATCCGGAGCCCATCCCTGCTCGGAGCGCATGCCATGTCTGGCGCCTTATGGCTGCCCACACCTTACGGGAGTCTCTCTTCCCTGTCCTGGAGCCAAATTAAACGGAAACCCTGATAGGGAAAGAGGTACTCAACAAGTTGGTGGTGTGTCCCGAAAACCCTGGCCACACACTCAGAATGGCACTGCGCTCGGTTAGTGCACTGGTGCTCCTCTGCCAGCCGAGGACTTTCTCCTCCCAGGACAAGCAGGTCCTGTGCCGGCCAGGAGTCTGCACTGATCCCTGCAGGACTGCCGCCTGATGCAGCCAAGAGGCCGCAGCCCCACGTCGGGTGGCAGAACTCTTGTCCCCAAAAGTGGGATTTGGCCCTGGTGTGCACAGCCGCCAGCCAAGCCCCCCAGGGAGGGAGGTGGAAAAGGCTTTGGACATACTTGGGGGAGATGCAGGTCCCCCTCCAGGGCACTGTTCCTTCTGGCTCCGCAGCAGGGGAGGCTGGGGCGGGGCGGGGCTTGATTCACAGAGCTGGAGCTAAATAATTCTGCATCCTTCCAAACAGTGTGCTTATTGTGCTTTGGGATTGTGCTCTTGCGATTTCTGACATTTTCTCTGGTTTTGCCTTGGCACTTTCCAAGTTTGTTTGTTTGTTTGTTTATTATTTATTTATTTATTTGGCTTCTATGCCTCCCCATTCGCCGAAGCCTCGGGGCGGCTCACAAGTTAATTTTATTGATAGGCGGCCCACTTTTGGATTTAAGTTTTTGGGCGGGGTGGCGTACCCCGTTCCCCAGCCACAGACGCACAGGCCACCGTCTTCGTGCTCGTGGTCCTCTGGGAGCATGCAGAGGAGCGCGCTGCAGTCGGCTGGTACTCGCAGTCCTCATTCAGCTCTCGTGTGGTTTTTCAGGCGGTCAGTGCACTGGCTGGAGTTCAGGACCAGCTCATTGAGAAGCGTAAGTTGGCTTTCCCTCTTTGTGACTCTTCTGCTTTTCCCCATCACATGCTCTGTCGCTCTTCTAAACCCTGGTTTAGAATGACAGGAAATCCACCAGAACGGCTCCTTTTAGGTTTGGTCTGTTTCCAGATGCAGGTGGCATCATGAACCTATGGGAAGCAAAGGCTGCAGAGAAGGATGGGATTTGTACCTTGTCTGTGTAGCTTGCTTGTTTATGCTTCCGTCCCGCCTTGTGTCACTGGAGGAGGAACTAAACCCCTGACGCAAGTGCAAATGTGCCAGGTGCCTCCCTGCCCCACCCCTTCCTTCAGCCTGGAGCGGAAACTTCCGGCCAGGCCTCTGGGGCGGCCCCTGTTTCTAGCCAGGAGTGAGGAAGGGGCTTTCCTGCCGATGAGCTCGTGAGGCATGCCTGGATTTCTCCCATTGCAGGGGAGCCTGGCAGTGGGACGGAGAGCGACACTTCGCCAGATTTCCACAACCAGGAGAATGAGCCGAGCCAGGAGGAGGTGGAAGAGCTGGATGGCTCTGTGCAAGGGGTGAAGCCCCAGAAGGCCGCGTCCTCCACCTCAGGCAGTCACCACAGTAGCCACAAGAAACGGAAGAATAAGAACCGACACAGGTGAGTTGGGCGAGTCTGGGCTGTTTGAGGTGGGCTGAGAAGGCCCCTTTCCTTAGAGCCCACCCTCCCAGTCCGATTGTGGCCAGATTTCAGTGCTTGATGAATCTTGCTTGTGTGGAGAACCTTGGGGAGGGTGTTGTGAAAGTACCTCTCATCTCATTCCAGAAGCTTAGGGTGGGATGTGCCTGGTTGGACTTTCACACCTGCCTTGACACAGCAGTAGGCCGGGCAGGTATGACTGGGCAGAGGGCTTGGAGGTGGGATTTCCCGGG